AGCACCTCTGACCATATATTTGCCCTGCGCCAGTCTGATGACAGGTGCTGTGTCAGAGTAAATGTCGTTAAGTTGAGACTTTCAACGCTGGCACCGGTTTCCGCCAAGGCTACGTCCTTTCTCTATCCTGTTTGTGTTGTACATGGATAGAATAGTCAGGAGCAGCCAAGGCGATGACCGTATCGGTGAAGGAGATGTGAAAACGAGAAGGTTGCTGTTTGAAGACGACCTTGTTTTATTAGCATCTCCTGACTCTGACCTTCACTGCTCCCTAGAAAGGTTCGCAGCCGAGTGCGACGTGACCTGCATGCATGTGAACGCATCTAAAACGAAAAGCCTCGTGCTTTCTCGTTCTCCTGCTCGTTGCTTTCTTTAGATTAACGGAAAGGCAGAAGAGCAGGTAGAGAAGTTCAAGTACCTGGGAGTCGTATATACAAGAGATGGAATATTTGAGGAAGAGATCGACCGGCGAATTGGAGTAGCCTATGGGTTCTGCATGATCTAGCCGGATCCACTGTGACTACAGCAGAGCTCAGTCTGAAAAGTAAAGTCTCGGTGTTCGAGTCGATCTCTGTCCTCATGCTTAGATACGGAAATGAGTCGTGGACCATGACTGAAAAGCTTCGAACCCGGGTACAGCTGCTGAAATGGGCTTTCTTAGTCGAATCGCTGGTTTTACGCGTCTCGACATGGTCCGCAAGACAGACATTCGGGAGAGCCTTGGTGTACAGCCTCTGCTTCTCCGGAATGAGAAGTCACAGCTGCGATGGTTTGGACAGGTGTTGTGAATGCCTCCAGAAAGGAAAGCTAAGAAGCTGTTTCTTGCCAAACCGACATCAGAAGGCCCAGGGAACGGCCACGATTAACCTGGTGCAAATATGTGTAAGGAATCGGTTCCAAACTCCAGTTGTCTTCTGCCGAAACTCAGACTGTGACACAGGATTGGGAACGTTGGAAGCACTATCTGACGCGTCTGGCGCCGCGACCCAAAAGTAGAAGCGGCCACGGAAGATGAATGAATGAATAAGATCCGCAAATCGACCGTTGAGCTATGTCATAAAGCATCGGTAAACAGAGGATTTCAATACAAATTGCTGGAAGAATTTTCTCGTCAAGGGCGGACCGTTCATACAATCGAAATTCAACAGTCTGATACTGCCGGAGTTAATGGGATGGTCGCCATCATGTCGAAACATACTTGTTCATTTCTAAATATGGATTCCGGAATATTTGTTGATGCTTTCCAAGCAGGGGAATGGATTTATTGTCAGTTACTCTTATGAAGGTCCGATCCAAATTTTCCAAAAACATTTCATAATGTGATTCAAGGCTTGATGCATACATTAGCATGAGAACGAGGTCTCAGTGAAAGTTTCAGCGTGCACATCCTTTCACAGTGGGGGATTGACTCGCCAGATTAGTTGTCAGTCTGGCGATCACTAGTAGAATCAGTATAGTTGAATCAAATGCAAAGCAGAAAAGTTTCCATCCATTTGTAAAAATCAAGACTTAACTGCATGAAAATAGCAGCACCGTGGTTCTTTAACGTGTTCATGTTC